ACAAACTGCAACCGAGGTACGTGCCCTTAGCAGGAACCAAACCCGGGTCTCCCTGGACCACAGGCTGATGCTCCAACTGCTGAGCCAAACCGGCCAGGGCTGGTTTGTTTTGTGGGTTTTTTTTTTGGTCATTTTTCTATCTAAAGATCTATCCATTGATGTCAGTGGAGTATTAAAATCCCCTACTATGACAATGTCACTGTCAATCTCTCTATTTATGTCCATCTACATTTGCTGTATAGATTTAGGTGCTCCTATGTTGGGTGCATAAATGTTTACAAGTATTGTATCCTCTTAGAGCAATCTGTTAGATTGCTCTCTTTCTCATTATGTAGTATTTTTCTTTGTCTCTTATTGTAGCCATTGTTTTAAAGTCTATTTTGTCAGATATGAGTATTACTACCCCATGGTTTTATTTTTTCTTTCTTTCCATTTTATGAAATACCTTCCCTATCCCTTTACTTTTAGTCTTTATATCTTTCATTCTGAGGTGGGTCTCTTGTAGACAGCGTATATATGAGTCTTGTTTTCTTATCCATTCAGCTACCCTATGACTTTATATTTATTATTATTAACTTATTTTTGTTACAGATGTTTCTTTTTTTTTTTTCCCCACTGACACCCTCCTCCTGTTTCACCAACCACCAGTCTTTTGATTGGAGCACTTATGCCATTTACATTTAAGGTGATTATTGATGGGTATGAATTTATTGCCATTTTATTCTTTATAACTATGTTCCTCTGTTTTTTAATTCTTTCTTCTTCTTCTTAAAGAAGGTCCTTTAACATTTCCTGTAATACTAGTTTGGTGGTAATTAACTTCTTTAGTTTTTTTCTTTTCTGGGAAGCTCTTTATTTCAACTTTAATTTTATTTTTACTTTTATTTTTAAAACTTTTTTTTTTTTTTTTTTTTTTATCATCCTCACCCGAGGACATTTTTCCATTCTTTGTTCAGATAGAGTGGGAGGGAGAGAGAGGAACAGAGAGGGAGAGAAACATCGATGTGAAAGGGACACATCGAGTGATCGCCACCCGCACAACCAACCAGGGCCGGGGACAAACTGCAACCGAGGTACATGCCCTTAGCGGGAACCGAACCCGGGTCTCTCGGGACCGCAGGCCGATGCTCTAACCGCTGAGCCAAACCGGCCAGGGCTATTTTAAAAACTTTTAATTGATTTTTAGAGAGAGAGGAAGGGAGATGAGAGAGAGAGAGAGAGAGAGAGAGAGAGAAACATTCATGATGTGAGAGAGAAACATTGATCAGCTGTCTGCTGCATGTGCCCAGCTGGGTATTGAATCCACAACCAGGTATGTGCCCTGACTGGGAATCAAACCCACCACCTTTTGATATATGGTACAATGCTCCAACCATTTGAGGCATACCAGCCAGGCCTCACCTTCAATTTTAAATGATAGTCTTGCTAGGTAAAGTAGTCTTGGCTATAAGTCCTTGCTTTTTATCACTTTGAATATTTCATGCCAGTCCCTCTGGCCTGAAATGCTTCTGTTGAGAAATGAGTTGACAATCTTATGGGAGCTCCCTTGTAGGTAACTATTTTTCTCTTGCAGCTTTTATGATTCTCACTTTATCTTTAACCTTTGCCATTTTAATTATGATGTGTCTTGCTTGGGTCTCTTTATTTTTATATTGCTTGGGACACTCTGCACTTTCTGGACTGTGTCTCTTTCCTTTACTATGTTAGGGAAGTTATTAGTCATTATTTCTTAAAATAGATTCTCGAGTCCTTGCTCTCTTTTTTGTCTTGTAGCCCTATGACGCAGATGTTGTTTTACTTCATATTGTCCTATAGGTCCCTGAAGCTAACTTCATTTTTAAAATTTATTTATTTTTAAATTTGCTGCTCTGATTGGATGTTTTCTACTACCTTGTCTTCGAAATCAATGATTCAGTTCTCTGCTTCATCCAACCTACTGTTTATTCATTCTAGTATATTCTTCATTTCAAATATTGTAGTCTTCATTTCTGACTGATTCTGGTTTATGGTTTCTATGTCCTTTTTTTACTCTTGCTATCTATCTCTTTGCTGAAGTTCTCACTGAGTTCCTTGAGCATCCTTACAACCATTTTATTGAATTCTATATCTGGTAAATTGCCTGCCTCTATTTCATCGAGCTCTTGTCTGAAGATTTATCCTATTCTTTTATTTGAGGTCTGTTTCTTTGTCTCCTTATTTTGTCTGCCTCTTTGTCTTTGTTTCTATGTATTAAGTAGATCTCTTATGTCTCCCAGTCTTGGCAGGGTAGCCTTATGTAGTAGGTGTCCTGTGGGACCCAGTGGTGCAGTCTCCTTGCTCACCTGAGCTGGGTGCTTTAGGAATGTTCTTGCTGTGGGTTATGTGAGTCCTCCTGTTGTAATTGAGTCTTGATTGCTATTTATAGGAAAATGAGGAGAATGGCTTCTGCCCCACAAGACCCAATTCCGTCACTAAACCCCCTGAATTTGCCTGGATTTCTGATCCCTTACTCTGATAGCTGACTCCTCAGTAGGGTGTGAGCTTTGCAGGGTAGGACAAACCAGAGAGTGGGGCTCTTACATTTTCCCAGGCTGATGCTGAAAGAAGTGAAATGGTCCACTCAAGAAAGATGGTGTCTGCAGTGTGGAAGAGGGATTCAGCACAGGAATTCTGTCCCCTTAGCTCCTTCCCCAGAGCCACAAACTCAGCCTTTCCTCACATGATTATAGTCCACTCCTTCTTCCCTCTGCCAAAGCCCTGGGTGACTGGCTGTAAACAAGATTTTGTGAGTTAGACCTTTAAAAGGGCGCCTGTGCCTCTAGCATTGTCCTGTCTCTCCCTGGTGGACAGAATCTCCACTGATTTTCACAGCCAGATGCTATGTGGGCAACTTTTCCTGGCTTTTGTGCTTTGGACTCAGGAGCTTGGCATGCTCCTCAGGGGAATTTTTGCAGCTGAGATATTCCTCTGGAATCTCAGCTGCAGCCCATGGGAGTGGGGCCAGCTCTTTTCATGTCTTTGCCCTTTCTACCAGTCTCGATGTGGCTGCCTCTGTAAATGTTTGTTGCAAGACTTCTGTTCAGTTAGTGTTCAGTTGGTTATTCAGTTTAATTGTTCTATATTTTAGTTGCATTTTTAGTTTGGTCCTGGGAGGAGATGAGTGTATCTAGTCTGTCACCATCTTGGATCTCCACTAGCATTTTAAATTTTTTTTTTTTAATTGATATTAGAGAGAGAGAGGAAAGAAAGGTAGAGGGAGAGAGAGAGAGAAACATCCATGAGAGAGAACATTGATTGGCTGCCTCCTGCATGCCCACCACTAGGGATTTGGCCCACAACCGGGGCATGTGCCCTATCTGGGAATCAAACCAGTGACCTCTTGGTGCATGGGTTGATGCTCAACCATTGAGCCACACTAGCTGGGCTCCATTAGCATTTTAATAATTAATATTCAGGGTGGGGCAAAGTAGGTTAACAGTTACGAGTACATGAAACACAGAGTTTATTCTTGTATTATTATTTATTAATTATTGTGTTATTTTCTGTGCAAACAACTGCAATGTATTTGCCCCACCTTATATTGCTATTAAGATTAAAATTAAGTAATTGTGAATAAATCTCAAATATATATGACAGACAACTTCTATGATATTTATTATTAATCTATTCTACAAACATTTATTGAAAATTTACTCTATGCCAGGAACTCTTTTATGGCACTAGAGATATAGCAGTAACTTTGTCATACATAGACTCTGCCCATATAATAGTTTTTTATGTACTTTAATAAGGAAAAAAAATAGTGCTATGGGAGCACATAAGAGAGGCTCATGAAGTGGTGACTATTCTGAGACTAGAAGAGATGAATAGGAATTTTGTCAATGCTTTCAGCATAAAACACGGTGATGAAGTGTTTTAAAGCAGAGGGAACTGTGGAAAGATTAGTTTGGCTTGAAAGTAGGGCAATGACAAGAAAACATAACATATTTTTGATAAAGATATTCTGATTACAAAGAAGAGACTAGGTTTGGTCAATCACTACCTTTTAAAATATATATTTTAATTAATTTTTAGAGAGAGAAAATGATAGGGAGAAAGAAACATTGATGTGAGAGTAAAACATCAATCGCCTTCCCCTGCACCCCCTTACCAGGGATCAAGTCTGCAATCCAGGCATATCCCCTGACTTGGAATCTAACCGGCAACCCTTTGGTGCATGGGATTATGTCCAACCAACTGAGCCATACAGGCCAGGGAAAATATTAAGTTTTGTCTGTATATATTTATATAAGCATTTCTTGAAATGACCTGCTGTACTCATCAGCTCAGGCTGCCATAATAAAATACCAGACTGGGTGGCTTAAACAACAGAATTTATTTTCTCACAGTTCTGGATGCTAGGAAGTCCAGGATCAAGGTGCTAGTGATTTGGTTCCTGGTGAAGCCTCTCTTCCTGGCTTGTAGATGACTGTGTCCTCATGCTGGAGAGAGAGGGTTCTGGTGTCTATATCTTTTTTTATAAGGCCTTCAATTTTATTGGATTAGGACCCCATCTTTATGACCTCATGTAACCTTAATTACCTCCTAAAAGCCCTATTCTTAAATATGATCACATTGGGGAGTATGACTTTTACATAACAGTTTTGAGGGAGGAGACATAATTCATTCCATGACACACGTCTTTACTTCAAATACCTTTTATTTTATATTTGAAATGATTAGGTCATTCTCAAAAACCCATGGGATGTAATAATATAATAATGCAACCTTGGAAGATTATCTCAATATGTACAACTTGTTCTTTGGGGGTACTTATTCTTTAATCTGAAAATTTGATTATTATTATAATTTTAAGAAAAGGAAGCTGTAAAGTGAAACAGATGGTATACTGATATTTTTAAAAATCTCAATTGAAATGTCTTACCACTGTTTTAAACACAGTTCATTAATATGCCTCTTTATACATTTGCCAATATTTGTATGCGACCCTCTCTTATATTGTATATTTTTCTGGTTTTCAGGACCTTTTGGCTGTTGGCTATGGGCATTTTGGATTTAAAGAGCAAAAAAAAGGATTGGCTTGCTGCTGGTCAATAAAGAATCCCATGGTAACCCCAACAGGAATAATACCTATTTTTATTTAATTAAATGTTGACATAATTATCATAAAGTGGATCATTGTATTTGATAATTAAACAAAGTCAAGAAAATTTTTCAAGCAAGACTTTTTTTTTGGTTTAAATACACAGTGATGAAAATGTGTTCTTGTCAATATAGGATAAAGTATATTCATTTACAAATTCATTCAATAAATATTTATTGAGCATCTGCTGTGTGTTGTTAGATCGAATGATTCAGAGTTCAACCTTTATTGTTTATCACTGCTAATTACAAAAAATGAATTTGAAAATGAAAATCTTTTGTAAATTATATTTCATTTCTAACTGGGTTGTTTCTTAATATGTGAATAACTCCTTTTTACTTTATAAGATAGACTTCTGCTATCCTCAGTTGAGATTAATATGACCATCTTATTGCCATGAATATTTCAAAGAGAATAAATAAGAATCAGTTGTGTTTTCTGTGTGTATGCTAACTAGCCGCAGTCAATTTGTTACTCTATAGCTTTACATTTAGTGTTAATTCACAACTGAAATGTAAAGTGAAAAACTTAGAAAAGGATCAGCAGAGCATATAAAAATAGTTTTTATAAATATTCCCACTTTTGTTTAAGAAATGGACTTATGTAGCATGAAAGAGAGGAAGAAGCAAGTTTAAACATGTGAAAGGATTGATATAAAATTCATCGGTAGGTTGTCTTCCTTTCCATGTAGGGTGTTAAAAACAAGAAAGGATTTAGATTAGATATTAAAACAAAACAATAAAATTCTTGACAGAGTCGTAGAAAAGAGTACTTTAGAGAGTTTTGGAGCTTCTTCTTTCTATTGTCTTGAAACAGATACTGGGAGATAGGACTCTTTGCTAGATAATTTGTTTGGAGCCCATTATTTGTTTCTTTAAGAATGTGGACCTATAATGATTATACAAATCCTGTTGAAAGATTGCCAAAATATGATAATTATTGTAAAAGCCCATCCTGTATTTCTTAAAGTTATTGAGCTCCAAGGATTCATCAAAGGAAAGGAAAAGGGGTTTTGTTCTCATCTATACTGGAAGTTAGGAAGAGTAACTAAGTGTACACTGACTCTTCTCACATCCCCATTGCCACCAGACTACACTTCAGCCATCATCATACCCTACCTACTGTGGTCTAAAAAATCAAGTTTAAAATGTAATATAATAATTTTTTATTCAGTGGCCAGAACGTATTTATCAGAGTCCATATGGAGTTACTGCTGTGGATTTTTCCATTGGATCACCTAATCTTCTGGCAGTTGGCTATCACAATGGCACCATTTCAGTTTATAATGTACAGAGCAACATTAATGTCCCAGTTCTGGACGCTAGGTGAGAAGCCAAGAATTAGATAAATGTATAATAAATGCTTATTTAGAGAGAAGTAAAAAGTTAATGTTATTTGATTTTGAATGAATATTTATATTGTTACCGAGAGTGATACCATTATTTTCCAAACACTGTAATTCCTCGTATTGTCTCTCCAGATAGAATGCTTTGTCCTACTGTCTCTTTCATCTTCTTCTCTACCCACCTCACCAACAAACTTCCTTTGGCGTGGCAGTTTTATGCTTATTCTTTTTTAAAGAAAATTAATTTTTTCTCAGCTTTATTGAGGTAGTACTAAAAAATTATATATACTTAGGTTGTACAATGTGGTTATTTAAAGGTGTACAATGTGATGATTAAACATATGTATACATTGTGAAATGACCACAATCAAGTTAGCACATCCATCACCTCACATAGTTACATTTTTATGTGCATGTATGGTGAGAACACTTAAGGTCTACTCTCTTAGCAAACTTCAAGTATACAATACAGTATCATTAACTATAATCAACATGTTGTACATTTGATTTCCAGAACTTATCTAATAACTGAAAGTTTGTACCCTTGACTACTGCAGTGTCACCTCCCCAAAGAAACATTGCCATTTCTTTCTTTTGTGCATACTATATACACATTTATCACAGTACATATCATGCTGTATAAAAACTGTTTACATATATATCATCTTTCTGAGGAGGTTGTAAGCACTTTGAGGGCAAGGATTAAGTTTTACTTATCTTTGCATGCTCAGTACATCCATCACATGATATCAGATATGTAACAGTATTATAGTCTTTGATTAAGAATGAATGAATGAATGTAAACACAATGAAATAAATAGATGATATAGATTGTACACTTGAAACCTGCATAATTTTATTAACCAATGTCATCCCAATAAATTTAATAAAAAAGAAATAGATATAGAACTTTTAAAAGAAAAAAAAGAATGAATGAGTCATATTGAGAAAATACAAAAGTTAAAGGGGAAAGATATTGAATATGTTAGGTTTTTGTGATAGACCAGACAAAAATGAGGTGGAATATTTAAGTTAGTGTTTGAATAAACTTATCTAGAACTGGGTGGAAATAGGCATTAAAGCAAGAGTTCTTTAGCTTAATTTTAAAATTATTTGCATAGTTTTGTAAGTGGGGTCTTTTCTGCTTATTTCTAGGAAGAGGGTCCATAAGTTTTACCAAGTAATCAAAGATATCTATGATTTACAAAAGATTTAGAACTATTATTTTGGAGAGTTTGTGTTTTAAAAAAATTAAGTGATTCAGTACCAGGAACATAGGAAACCATCATTCTGATAGAAAAACAGTAAACTGACAAGTGATTTTAAAATTCATTGAGAAGTGAATAAAAACTTAAAACGACTTACTCATTTAAATTAGGAAAAAATTGCGCTGGCTAGTTCGGCTCAGCAGTTAGAACATCGATTCTCGGACCAGAGAGTCCCAGGTTCGGTTCCCGCTAAGGGCACGTACCTCAATTGCAGCTTGTACCTGGCCCCGGTTGGGGTCGTGTGGATGGCAACCAGTCAATGTGTCTCTCTCACATCAATGTTTCTCTCTCTCTCTTCCCTGCTCTTTTCCTCCTGCTCTATCTGAAGATAAAAACAAAAATGTCTTCGAGTGAGGATAAAAAATAAATAAATTAGGAAAAAATCCTTATAAAGATAAAGGTATTTATATTCAATATGTCTAAAGTTAACTAAATTTGAACAACTTAAGTAGGAAAAAATAAAAGGAACAGAGTAAGTGAAAAAGATTTTAAAGAGAAAAGAAGTAATTTGCTTTTGTATTTGTTATGATAGCCAATATAATTAAAAGTCGTAAAATTTTTCTTTTTTAAGAAATGAGAAAAACAGCAGTGAATACTAGGTGGCAAAGTGATTGTTTTTCCTGTTTTTCAAAATATTTAAATTAAAAGTCTAGTTTTGAACACTAAAAGCATCATTCTCTAAGTAGATCATGCTACTCTATGGAGTTGTCCTTATCACTTGTACTCTACATCTTTTTAAAAAAATTATTATAATGAATATATATTTAGTACTTTTCCCTGTTTCAGTGAATCACCTCAAAAACATTTGGGACCTATATGGCAACTACAGTGGATAGAACAAGATCGAGGAACAACAGGTGAAGACAAAAGAGAAATATTAGTTTCTATATCAGCAGATGGAAGAATCTCCAAATGGATTATACGGAAAGGACTGGACTGTCATGGTAAAATATATATATTTATATTGTCTTTCTTTTGTTATGTGCTGAACTGAAAATTCCTAGCAAACCATGTGACAAATTTGGGTTTTGCTAATTAAGAAAATGAAACTGGGCTTGGTCATTGTTTTTCTAAACATCTAGTTTTGGTATTTGTTCATTTTAACCTAAACACATGCAAAAGATAGCAGAAAACATTATTTGCAGAAGGGACACATTATATCTACAATACTTTTTCATGTGGTAAAAACATATACATATATATATATATATATATATATATATATATATATCCTTTATTTACCCTTCTAAAATATTTTTAATAATCAAAGTAGTTTGGGGACAATTTAGAATTTCAGTTGAAACTAGTAACATTCTCAAACAACACTACTATATTTGCAACTTCCTTTTCTAAGAAAGAAAGCCTTTTCCTCTACTCTCTCCTATTCTTTTTTCCTTTTATTTATCTCTGCCTTGCGTCATTCTAAAAATTAGTTCGGATTCCCTGACAGTTGTCTATATAATTGCTTGGAACTATAGCACAGATATAGCAGAAATGGTGTACATGTGTGAGTCACATGGCAGTTATTTTCTTCCCTTGATATCTACTCGGTCCACTTACTATCTTAGCTTCTCACTACGAAAACCCCATCCTGGTCCCAGGGAAAGCACTTAAAACTTTATATTTTCAGAACTATGAAAAAACAGATCTAATGGTGAAATAACACTAACTTTATTTTCCCATGAAGAAAATAAAAACCTATGCAACCTCCAAAATTTGAAACCCTTGGGGGGGGGGCTAAGAAATGTAATATATTTTTTCTTTAAATAAAGATTTGATGCATTTGAAACGAACTACTACCAGCTTCAGCAAAAAAGGAGTGGAAAAGGAAAAGAAAGGTGAAGCTTTGATATCTCGACAGGCTCCTGGAATGTGTTTTGCTTTTCATCCCAAGGTAAATTGTTTCAATCCATTATTTACTATTGCATATAATGACTTCCAATAATTGAAGTGTATTAAGATATAATGCAAGACAAAAGGTCAGCATGTTAATTAATATTATGCCTTGTAACTAAAAAAATAACAAATGTAGCTGCCAACCTAAGGCAGAATGGCATATTCCAGCTGACTGTACTGTTTTTATCTACTTTCCAGAGGAAAGGTCTATACTTCTGAGGAACAGTGGCAGGATCCTCTTTACAACTGCATGTTTACTGAGGGCCCCTCCTTGCCTGTCTTGTGAGCTCTGCTGCTTCATGATACTGATGGAGACCAAATGTACTATATAGTCCTCTACGTCCTAAATGTGCATGGTTACTCATGATTCTGGGGATCAGGAAGACCACTTATCAAGACCAGAATCAAATCAATGCACATTTGAAGAACTTTTTAAAATTCTTTTTATCTGGAGGTTTTTGGAGTCAGAAATTCAGCCATTCTACGAAAACATATCCTCATGTTTTCTGATATGGAATATGATCATCTCTTTAGTGTCGCCATCATCTACCTAATTATCCAAACCAAAACTTGAGCTCCTACTCTGTTCTGTCCTATCACCCAAATGGTATTTAAGTCTTATTGTACCACTTCTTCCAGCCCAAGCTTATTACTTGGTAATGTAGCTTGGGCCTTTATTGTGTTTCACTTTTATAACACTGCTGTCATATTCTAACGACCTGTATTCTTAAATTCCTATATTCTACTTTTCACCTTAGCTCTAGAAAAATGGTTCTTAATGTGAGCAAGTCAGTGGGTATTTTCTAACCAGGGAACTTCCACAATGTCTTAAGATATTTTTTATTGTTGTACTTTAGGAGGTGGGGCATGGGGAGGAGTGCCATTGCTGTCTAGTGAACAGAATCCAGAGATGCGAAACATCCTTTAATGCACAATGCAAGCACCATCACCATCTCCCGCCCCCAAACAAAGAATTAGCTGGTCAAAAATGTCTGGGTTGAGAAGCCCTAGTCTGGTGTCCTAGAAATGTTCCTTGGTGGAACGAATTCAAGACAATCATGTAGTCTGTAAATAAAGACTTTTACTTCTTTCTTTCTAATCTGGTTACCTTTTATTTCTTTTTATTGCCTGATTGCATTGGTTAGAACCTCTAGCACAAGAATGAATAGAACTGGTGAAAACAGACATCCCTGTCTTGTTCCTGATTTTATGGAGAAAGCATTCAATCTTTTGCTATTAAGTGTGATTAAGTATACTGTAAGCTAAAAGTAGGTGTAATTAATTAGGTGGAGGAGGTCCCAGTACATTACTAAAATTTGTTGAGAGTTATTTTTATCATGAATGGATGTTGTGTTTACCTCAAGTGCTTTTTTCTACATCTGTTGGTATGATTATATAGTTTTTCTTTTCTGTTTCTTTTTGTTAATCCTCAACCGAGGATATTTTTCTGTTGATTTTTGAGAATGAAAGGGAGTGAGGGAGGGAGAGAGAAACATTGATGTGAGAGAGACACATTGATTGGTTGCTTCCCACAAGACCCCGTGGGGCTGAGGATCGAACCTGCAACCCAGGTATGTGCCCTTGACCAGCAATCAAACCTGAGACCCTTTTGTCCATGGGCCAATGCTCTAACTGCTGAGCCAAATTGGCCAGGGCTATAGTTTTTCTTTTAAAGTTTGTTAACATGGTGAATTACATTGGTTGATTTCTTTTTTTTTTTAATAATGGAAAGATGCTATTTTTATTTATTTATTTTTTATCTTTATTGTTGAATGTATTACAAATGTTCCTCATTTTTCCCCCATTGACTCCCTCCTCCCACTCCTGCCCCCTCCTGCCTTTTCCCATACTGTTGTCTGTGTCCATTGGTTATACATATAAGTTCCTTGGTTTATTTCTTCCCAACCCCCAACCCCCTTTCCCTTTGAAGTTTGTCAGCCTAGCAACCAATTTGTACTTCTTAATCTTCTCACCTTTTTCACTCATTCCCCCAACCCCCTTTCATCTGGCAACCAACAAAATGTTCTCTGTATCTGTGAGAGTATTTCTGTTCTGCCTGTTCATTTTGTTTGTAGAATCAGTTGTTGATAGATATGTATTCATTGCCATTTTGTTTGTTCATATATTTTATCTTTTTCTTCAAAAAGACCCTTCATCATTTCATATAATAACGGTTTGGTGGTGATGAACTCCTTTAATTTTTTCTTGTCTGGGAAACTCTTTATATGGCCATTGATTCTAAATGACAGCTTTGCAGGATAGAGTAACCTTGGTTGTAGGTTCTTGGTTTTCATCACTATGAATATTTCTTGCCACTCCCTTCTGGCCTGCAAAGTTTCTTTTGAGAAATTAGCTGACAGTCTTATGGGAACTCCCTTGTAGGTAACTAACTGCTTTTCTCTTGCTGCTTTTAAGATTCTCTCTTTGTCTTGAACCTTTTGCATTTTGATGATGATATGTCTTGGTGTGGGCCTCTTGGGGTTCATCCTGTTTGGAACTCTCTGTGCTTCCTGGACTTGTATGTCTGTTTCCTTCACCAAGTTAGGGAATTTTTCTGCCATTATTGTTTCAAATAGGTTTTCGATTTCTTGTGTTCTCTCTCTTCTCCTTCGGGCACCCCCAAGATGCGAATGTTGGCACGCTTGAAGTTGTCCCAGAGGCTCCTTACACTCTCCTCATTTTTTTGGATTCTTTTTTCTTTTTGCTATTCTGATTGGGTGTTTTTTGCTTCCTTATATTCCAAATCAATGGTTTGCTTCTTGGCTTTACCTACTCTACTACTGAATCTGTGTAATTATTTTTTATTTCAGTTAGTGCCTCCTTCATTTCTGACTGCATCCTTCATTCTGACTGGTCCTTTTTTATGCTCTTGAGGTCCTCACTAAGTTCTCTGAGATTCTCACTAAGTTCATTGAGCATCCTTATAAACAGTATTTTGAACTCAGCGTCTGTTAGGTTGCTTATCTCCATTTCGCTTAGTTCTTTTCCTGGGGTTTTGTTCTGTTCTTTCATTTGGGACCTGTTTCTTTGTCTCCTCATTTTGGCTGCCTCCCTGTGTTTGCTTCTGTATATTACTTAACGAGAGGTATGGGGCTATCTGAGACCAGATGCTGCTTGTTTGAAAGAATTTAGGAAAACCTGAAGCAGGATCCAAGAAAGGCCAGTCCTATGGTTAAGCAACTGGCAACAGCTTGGGTGGGCCTGAAAGTTGGGTGGGGCGGGGCCTCAGGGAATCACCAGGGCAGGGCTACCAGTGTGAGCCAGGTTGCTGGAGTCCCAGATATGGCGGCTGTCTGCTGCCCCAGGGAAGGGCTCACCAAAGGAATAAAGGCCTCTGACAGTATGTTTGTCCCGGAGAAAGCCCCCTCTCCAGCCCTTACTCCAATGCCAAACAGCTCAGTTCTTCCCTGTATGTCTCTGGCGCCCCTCGAGCTGCCTCCCCTCCAAGCTTAGAGGGAGTGAGTCCAATAAGTTCGTGCACGGGCCCTTTAAGAGGAGCTGCCTGGGGCTCCAGCCGCCTCAGCCTCCCTGAGCCTCAGTTCCCGCTGGTTTTTCCAGCCAGAAGTTATGGGGACTTCTCTTCATGGCACTGGGACCCTGAGCGGGGTGCCTGGTGTGGGACAGGGACCCCTCAGTCCTCAGTTAGGACCTTCCCAGCCGAGGTATCATCCTGATTTTTATCTGCCACATGTGGGTGTGGGACCAGCCCCTCCACCTCTGCCCCTCCTACCAATCTCATTGTGACTGCTTCTTTAATTCTGTAGTTGTAGGACTTCCATTCAGCTTGATTTCAGGCGGTTTTGAATGATGGTTTTTCTGTAGTTTAGTTGTAACTTCAATGTGGTTGTGGGAGGATGCGATACTGCATTTACCTATGCCGCCATCTTGACCGGAAGTCCATTGGTTGATTTTTTTTTGACAAGTAAAAAAATATTTATTGATATACTAAAAGTTAAAAAGACAAAGATCTTCTGACACATTTGCAAATGTCCTACAACACACTTGTTCATGATTTACCCTTTTAATATACTATTGGATTTAATAATGCTAAAATTTTGTTTAGTATTTTACATCTTTGTAAGGGATATTGGTGTATAGTTTTCTTTTCTTGTGATGTCTTTGGTTTCTGTATCAGGGTAATCCTGGCCTCCCAGAATGAGTTAAAAAGTATTCTCTCTTCTTTATATTTTCTTTATTAATCTTTTAGGGAGAGAGAGATAAAAACATTGGTGAGAGAGAACATTGATTGGCTGCCTCCTGCATGCCCTCCACTGGGGCTCGGGCCCACAACCTGGGCATGTGCCCTGACCGGGAATCAAACTGGTGACCTTTTGGTACATGGGTTGATGCTCAACCAGTGAGCTACACTGGCCTGGTTCTTCTTTACTTTTTTGAAAGAATTTGTATACAATTAGTATTATTCTTCTTTACATATTTGATAGCCATAATAAAGAATTTGGGCCTGCAGTTTTCTTTTGGAAAGAAATTTAACTTTTAACTAAAACTTTAAATTTTAATAGATACAGAGCTATTAAAATATCTGTTTCTTCTTGAGTAAGGTAATATGTGTCTTTCAAGAAATTTGGTTTTTTTTTAAGCTGATAATTTTTTTCTTTCTTTTTAAAATCCATTTATTGTTGAAGGTATTACAGATGTCCCCCTTTTATTTGCCCCATTGACCTCCTTCTCCCTGCTCCCACCTCCTCCTGCTTTCCCCAGACTATTGTCTGTGTCCATTGGTTATACATATATGCATAACAGTTTTTTGGTTAATCTCTTCCCTCTGAGGTTTGTAAGTCTATTTCCTACTTCCGTGTCTCTGGATCTATGTTGATCAATAGCTTATTCTGTTCATGATATTCCATAAATAAGTGAGATCATGTGGTACTTGTCTTTCTCTGACTGGCTTATTTCACTCAGCATAATACTCTCCAGGTCCCTCCATGTCGTCTCAAAGGGTAAGAGATGTTACTTTCTTATTGCTGCATAGTATTCCATTGTATAAATGTAGGAATTTGTATTTTTTAAATTAAATTTGTTAAATTTAATGACATAACAATGTTTCCTTAGTATCCTTTAATAGTAATGATATTACCTAATTCCTAATGTTATGTCTTTTCTCTTTTTCTCTGATTAGTCTGGCTAGAAGTTTATCAATTTTATTGATCTCAAAGAACCAGCTTTTGATTTCTCTGATTTTTGTTATTCTTTTTCTATATCATTGATTCATACTTTGACATTTATTATTTTATTTCTTCTATTTTGGTTTTACTTGCTCTTATTTTTCAAGTTTCTTAATGTGGAAGCTGAGATAATTTATTTGTGATATTTCTTATTTTCCAATACAGGCAATTGTGCTATAACTTTACCCCTAAGTACTGCTTTGGTAGCACCCCACAAACTGATATGTTAAATTTAAATTTTCATTCTACTTAAAATACTTTCTTATTTCTCGTTTGATTTCTTCTTTGATCAACAAGATATTTAGAAACATGTTATTTAGCTTCTAAATATTTGCGGTTTTCCAAGGATCTTTCTATAATTGATTTCTTATTCAATCTCATCATCAGCAGAAAACAAACTTTCAAAAAAACTGAATCCATTTGAATTTTTTGAGATTTGTTTTAAAACCCAGAATGTAATCTGGGTTTTAAAACAAATCTGGTAAATGTTCCCTGTGCACTTGAGAAAAATATACATTCTGCTATTGTTAGAGTGTTTTATCAGTGTCAATCAGGTTAAGCTGATTGATGGTGTTGTTCAATTTTACTATATCCTAGATTATTTTCTGCCTATTTCTTCCATCAATTTTGAGATAGAGGTATTGAAGTTTCTGACCATAATTATGGATTTTTCTATTTTTTCTTGTAATTCTCGGTTTTTGCTTTATGTATTTTGAAGCTTTATTTTAGGTACATAAATGTTTAAAATTATTATAATCTCTTAATTAATTAACACTCTTATTGTTATGAAATAGTACTATTTATAACTGGTAATATTGTTTATTCTGAAATCTCAGTTTGATATTAATATTAATATTAGTATTAATCCAGCTTTCTCTTAACTGGTGTTTTCATGGTTTACCATTTCCCATTCTTTAACATTTAATCTGTTTATAGCTTTATATTTAAAGTATGTTTCTTGTAGCAGTATATAGCTGGTCTTGCTTTTTTATGCAATCTTACAATCTCTGCATTTTAATTGTGATATTTAGACCAATTACATTTAGTCTGATTATTGATATGGTTTGGTTTGAGTCTATTATCTTGCTTGACTAGTTTATTAGTGTGTGTTTAGGGTGGTTGTAATATGTCTGGCCTCCTTGCCTAGAGGTAGGATTCTGAAAAGGTATCTCAACTACAGAGTTCTTATAGATTGTGCTGAGCCCTCTGTTACAGCTGTACTATAGTTCAACTTAAATCTCTACCCATTCTTATTTCCCTCAAAGTGGTAGTTACTGAGAGAACACCTGAATATATCTCTTGTGTGGAAATCTGAGTCTCTGAGTTTATATATTGAGAAACCCCACTTCAGACAATGACCTCTAGAGAAAGTTGACCTACTTATAAATGGTGTTGGGATAATCATTATCCACATAAAAAGTAGAATCAGATCCCTACTGTATCATATACACAAAACCTTTTAGAAGATAATGTAAGAGAATATCTCTATGACCTCAAAGTAAGAAAAATCTTCTTAAACAAAGCATAAAAAAGTGTGATATATGTGTGTGTATGTTAAGACTATACTTTCAGGGATCATTTTTTTGTTTGTATATATATACTATAATACCAGCTACATTAAAATGAGAGCTATTATTTAGCAAAAGATACTAAAGAAAATAAAAAGCCAATCACTAGGAGAAGATATTTGCAACATATTTAATAAATAAAGCATATGTAATAAAATACATAAAGAACACACACAAATAAATATAAAAGAGAAAGGTTATTAGTAAAATAGTCAAGAGATATGAACAGAAGAAGAAATAAAAGTGTGCTCAACATTGTTAATATTCATATAAATAGCACTCACAATCATTAGGTATAATTTTACACTTAATAGATGACGAAATTTAAGATTTCTGATATAACCAACTGTTGAAGAGAATGTGGGTCAAAGGAAACTTATTTACTGCTGAATGTAATTTAGAATACTACCTTGGGGAGAAAAATGTACTTTTTGTGTAATTTAAAACTACATATACCCTATGATCTAGTAATTGCATTTTTTTTTTTTATTATTATTCTCACCTGAGGACATTTTTCCATTTTTTTGTTCAGATAGAGTGGGAGGGAGAGAAAGGAAGAGAGAGAGAGAGACAAACATTGACATGAAAGGGACACATCGAGTGGCTACCACCTGCACAACCCAACCAGGGCCAGGGACAAACTGCAACTGAGGTTTGTGCCCTTAGCGGGAACTGAACCCGGGTCTCTCTGGACCGCAGGCCGATGCTGTAACCGCTGAGCCAAACTGGCCTGGGCAGTAGTTGCATTCTTAAGTACTGGTGTACATCAGAGCAGTGTGTCTCAAGTTTTAATATACATATAAACTGTTTGGAAATCTTATGAAAATGCAAATTCTGATTCAGTAGGTCTCAGGTAAGGCCTGAGATTGTGCACTTCTAAAATGCTCCTGGGTGATTCTGACCCCACATAATTAGGACATAGAACACTTACTTTTAGACTTTTTGACTGTGACTTCACTATTGGAAATACATTTAAAATCATTATTTAATACATACAGACTTCTGAGACACCATCTAGTTCAATTTCTCTTTTCCAGCAAGAACCATTTCTTCAGCATTATATACATAAATAGTTATTAAGTCGTCTGTCTTCTCCTTGACTAGTTCTAATGAAAGAATACTTATTATTTCCCTGAACTGTTCTCTCCAGTGTCAGATAGCTCTAAGGGTTAAAAAGTTTCTTCCACATTTTAAGCCATGTAATTTCTAGATAGGATGCTAAATTCTATTCTCTATTGCAGCAAAGGACAAATCTATATTTTCTTTGCACAGTAGGCCTCCAGGTAGTTTCATTGTTGTAAAATCATGATAGAAAGAAAAAGATAACAGACAACTATCTTTAAGATAATATTTCTAGTTTTTGTTCTTGAATTGATTTAATATAGATTAAGTGACCTAATCTTCTAGTTAGCACATTTACCAATGTACCAAAAATCAATGCATTTTGATTTTTTTGTGTTATAGGACACAAATATATATTTGGCTGGCACTGAAGAAGGTCATATTCACAAATGTTCTTGTTCATACAATGAACAATACCTAGAAACCTACAGAGGACATAAGGTAAGTTTAATTATAGTAAGTATGGAAAATTTATCTTTTAATATTTCTGAAACAATAATATTATTATACACAGTATTTTTAATATGCAATAAATTTACAACTTCAAAGTTAAATACCAACTCAAAGTAAGTGTTTTCGTATATGGAAACCACCAATAATGTGTGAGGCATTTTATTTGGCTTCTAAATATCCTCAAGTTTTTGCATGTTACGGAAGTCACAATTTTTATTTGCATCTGAAAGACCTTGCTCATGATAGCATGCTGATCCCAAAGTAAAACTGTCTGTTGCATATACCTAGTTTCCGTATCTTTTATGATTGTTCCATCTAAATTTTCTTCATTTATTTTTTAATACTCCTTATATTTTTTAGTAAATATGTATAATATGTATTAATATTTAGTGAGTATTGTATCAACTCTTTTTTATGTTTTTGTATGGCATAATTTAGAGAAGATTCCATTCATGACCTTTTTCTCAGCTAAAATAATACCCATACAGTAATACATGGTAGATAAATCTTCTAGTTATCTTAGCATTTCAAATTTGTTGGTAAAGTTTAAAGTCTCAGATATTAAATGCTATTTAACTATGTGTTTTAATTAATTTTTTTTTATTGAAGGGTCCAGTGTATAAAATAGCATGGAATCCATTTTGTCATGATGTGTTCTTAAGCTGTTCTGCAGATTGGGGTGTTATTATATGGCAACAGGAGAATCCCAAGCCATTTTTGAGTTTTTATCCAACTACTTATGTTGTTTATGATGTTGCCTGGTCTCCAAAATCATCCTATATATTTGCAGCTGCAAATGAGAACAGAGTGGAGGTTTGGGACCTTCACATCAGCACGTAAGTGTTAACATTTTTCTTAGGGATGTTTCTGGTAGAAGCAGTTCAAATGAAATGATACCTGATAGTTTTGACACTGGTTAGAGAGAACTGTATGGGATGTGGCAAAAATAGGTTTATAGTTGTTCATATGGAAAATAATACAATAATTAATAAATAATAAGACAAGAATAAACTGTTTTGTGTACCCACAACTGTAAACCTACTTTTGTCACACCCTGTATTTACTTTGAAAGAAGTAACAGTATATACTATGAGAGTCCTTTAAGAATAAAGAACTATGGCAGGATGCTATATTCATGTTAATTAATTCTGTGGTTTTATAAATATTTGAATAAAACTAGATCATATTATTCATCTCCTCAAATTACAGGCTGATATATGATATCATAACTACCTTTAATTCTTTTTAATTGCCTGGTTTATAGACGAATGCAGAGAGGGAACTAATTTTTTTAATCTAAAGATTTTCTATAATAAGGTAAAGAAAAGGAACAAAATAATATTTGCTTATTCTCTTACTTTGTTTCAAAACATATTCAAAGGAGAATGTATTTAATTAAAATCTTTGATTTAAGGTGTTACACCAAAGTTATTAGAGTGTCATCTACACCCATTCTTTTTATATGCAAGTATATATAATGTTGCAATAAAGTGTTTAATGATTCCATGTCAATCGGAAAATATTGGATATCTTTTTTTTTAGAATTTTATTTATTTATTTATTTATTTATTTATTTATTTATTTATTTATTTATTTATTTTTATCCTTACCCGAGGACATTTTTTTTGTTGTTGCATTTATCTTCAGATAGAGCAGGAGGGAGAGAGGGAGGAAGAGAGAGAGAGACATTGAGTGGTCACCACCCACAGGACCCCCACCAGGGCCAGGGACAAACTGCAACCGAGGTATGTGCCCGTAGCGGGAACTGAACCCAGGTCTCTTTGGTCTGCGGGCTGATGCTCTAACCGCTGAGCCAAACCAGCCAGGGCAATATTGGATATCTTTATGCTACATTTTAGCAGAAGGAGCAAGGAAAATCATTCTTGTTTAAAATAAATGATGCCCTGGCTGGGTAGCTCAGTTGGTTAGAGTGTTGTCTGGATATGCCAAGGTTGCAGCTTCTATTCCCGACCAGGGAACATTGCAACCAAGGACTGCATAAAGAAGTGGAATAATAAATTATGTTTTGCTCTCTCTTCCTTCCCCCCTCTCTGAAATCAATCAATAAATAAAAATTTAAAATAAATAATGAAAAATGTAATGGGTTTATTATTAATGGAAAAATGTTTTCTTAGAAGTTAATCATTTAATAACTAAAATTTTGTCATGTATTGTTCTATAAAACAGCTTGAACCAAAATCAAGGATTATATCACAAAGCAATTTATTTTTAAGTATGAGATGACTAATATATAAAATGGCTACTTAAATGATCCCACCTCTTTTCTAAGTCTGAATATATAAAGAACATTAATAATTGATTTTACAAATACAATATTTTATTACAGTTTGGATCCTCTAATTGTACATGTTGCTAACCCTGGAATCAAGTTCACAACTGTTCTCTTTGCTAAACAAACAGAATGCCTTCTAGTGGGAGACAGTGATGGACAGGTTGCTGTGTATGAACTGAGAAATATGCCCATTGCTTTGGATTCTGGCCGGGTAAGACCCAAAAGTAACAAATTTAGTAATTTTATGGTTTTATTTAGTTGCAGTTTTGTGTTATACAAGGGATTTACATTTCTTATATCTTAAGAGTAGTGCGGTGAAAAAAATATAATTCCCAAGAGTTACTACCTACTAGGTATGATTCCTAGACTTATTTTGAGTCTCATGTTCTCTAGCTGTAAAACAAGAGTAATAATAATATTGTTGAGCATATTTATAAATGTTATATGGAAGAACTTGAAATTGTGCCTCGTGTATATTTAGGGCATAATAACTGTTAAATATAGTTGGAAAAGTTTACTGAAAATATTCAAAGAATTGTATAAGAAATAATGTTTTTAGATATTATCCAATGTTCCTAAAATAGGCATTTGTTTCTACTGGTTTAGCATTTTCCTCTTCCCTTTCTCTCATCTTCAAATACCAAAACTTTGTTGTCCATTATCTTAAGATAGCTTTTCAATTTTTTCCTATTTCTTATGTTTAAATTTCTATTTTAAGGAGTAATCCGGCAAATATTACAGTAAATACAACAAACATGTTAAAAATATTGAAATATTTACAAATCAATAAGAAAAAAACACTAACACTCCAAAAGAGAGTAGATAATGATTAGAAACTTATTCATACACACCAAAAAAATGACTAGTAAATTATATTTTAAAATCCAACCTCACTAATAATTAAAGAAACAAAATCTATTACATTAAATTAAAATGTGATAATATTCTCATATATCAAATCAACAAAATTTTTTGTTTTGTTTTTTTTTGCATTTATCTTCAGATAGAGTGGGAGGGAGAGAGGCAGGAAGAGAGAGAGAGAGAAACATCTATGTGAGAGAGACACATTGACTGGTTGCCACCCACATGACCCCAACCGGGGCCGGGGACAAACTGCAACCGAGGTATGTGCCCTTACCGGGAACCGAACCTGGGACTCTCTGGTCCTCTGGCCAATACTCTAACTGCTGAGCCAAACTGGCTAGGGCAACAAAGTTTTTTTTTTGTTTTTTTGGGTTTTTTTTATTCTCACTCGAGGACATTTTTGTTGATAGAGTGGGAGAGAGAGAGAGAAACATCAACGTGAAAGGGACACATTGAGTGGCTGCCACCCATACGACCAACCAGGGCCGGGGACAAACTGCAACCGAAGCAGGTGCCCTTAGCGGGAACCAAACCCGGGTCTGTCTGGACTGCAGGCCGATGCTCTAACCGCTGAGCCAAACTGGCCAGGGAAACAAAGGGACTATTGAGTACTGGCAAACATTTGATAAGGTAAGTCCTCTGCTATACTGGTAATTTGAATAGAAATTGGTATAACTTCTTTGGAAGCAATTTAGCAATGTGAACCAAGACTGTCCAATTCTGGGACTCTATCCTGTATAGTCATACAGACAATCAAATAAATTAATTATAGCATTATTTATAATTGCATAAAAAAGAGAAGGAAGAAGAAAACAACTTAAGAATCCAACCAGAGGGACACATGACCAGGGAAGTCAGATGTGTTGATTAGATTTGGGTCACATGTAGGAGGTGGAGTTCTACCCCAACCATAACCATTTATTTGACTTTAAATGTTAAAAAAAGAAAAAGACAAATAGAAAAGTAAATTTAAATTAAAATCACAAATTTATTCATTAGACAATTTAATATAATAAATTCTCTTATATATAATGACTATTTAAAATACTAAATATATACAAATTCCTTGATACAAAAATAGTAAAATTATCTGTTTGATTTGCTGCATTATTTCCATATATAATTCTTATTCTTCTGAGGGTAAAAATATGTTTTCTCAATAAAGAATCAAATGAAGCATTTTAAGTAGTTTTGGAGATTATTTTCTCCACTGGCTGAGACGCATATTGACTGTGGACATTTAAGGGGAGTTTTCTAACTTCCTTGGCTTCCAAGCCAAGCCCGGTTTTACAGATGATTTGTTGGTGTCCTCGATATGGAATGGTCTCAAAGCCCATGTCTCCTAAAGTCAAGTTACTTATTGCTTACATTCTCCATTTTCATGGAGGTCTGCAACCCTGCACATGTTGCTGTATTACTTGATTGATTTCTATTCATTTATTTACTGTGTAACTAATTCTAAATTACTACGAATTTCCTATCTGGTAGGACTACTATTTTTACAGATGTTTAAATGATATCTATTTGGATTCTACATATCTCCCAGGGCTTTAATTTGTTGATAGTCTGAAAGACATACTAATAAGAAAAGACTGTTTATAAGAGCCTTGTTTCTATATTGAGAAGTTGGAAACAACCTAAATGATCATCAGTGGAAAACTGGATAAATAAAATATAGCACATGCATGTATGACTGAAATACAAAAGTTTAAATGATATATATTTCAATGCATCAATATGACAAGTTTTGAATAAATCTTAAAAAACAGTGTTGAGTGATAAAAGCAAATTTCATGAAAGTAAGTACAATATGTTGTGATTTATATAATATTATTTAAACCTCAAAATTAAAACTGTGTTTTTAGTAGACATATTTATAGTTAGTAAATGTATAGACTGGAATGTGGAAGACAATGTTTCATTTTTGTGTTTGGGTTTGAATCAATTGGAGACATCTTTTATTGTGAGCAGTATGCCATGCAAGCAGAAAGAAGGCTAAACCCAGAGTCTGAACATTTTTGACAAATTAGTGTGTGTGTGTGTGTGTGTGTGTTAATGATTTCAATGCTGGTGAGCAAAGTTTTCTTTTAACAAATATATTTCATACATTAGTAAATAAATATAGTTTCCTAATACAAATACTTTTTTATGCTTTTAGTCATAGTATTATAAAGATTAAGGATTATATTTCTTGGAGATTAAACTAGTAATCAGTTTTTGTTCCTTACAGCCAAACACAAGCTTAACTGATATACCTCTCCCTTAGCTTTTCAGAGAATTATAATCATAACAGTAATTTGAAGTCTCAAAGTAATTAATGTCAAACCATTATTTTCTATCAAGATATCAAGTAACATTATGACCTGTAATTTCCTCATTAGTTTTAACCAAGAGTGAATCAAAATTTGGAGGGCTTATGATTTCATTCTATAGGAAAAATGTGTACCAAATTTATGGTAAAAGGCTGCCTCTGGGAAGTAAGTGAATGCTGAGAGAAGAACAGGATTGGGAAGGTTGCAAAGGGAACTTCAAATTTATCAATAAGGTTTTATTTCTTTTATTTAAAAGTATCCAAGGCAAAGACGACACTTGTTGATTTGAAGTGAATCTGTGTTTTACAAAGGCAAAGTACCAGACAGCACATGTACCCGATGTACTGAAGCAGGGTTCATTGGGGAAAACCCACGAGAAAGAGTCAACAGTAGTTTTAGGATCACAACTCCCCCACATCCCTGCATTGCCCATCACCCTTTGTGACCTTGCACAGGAGGGGGAGAAGGAGAAGATCCTTGGGCTGTGGAGGTTCTGAAATTCTGGCCCTTCCCTGATGTGATTTAAAAAACCAGAATATTGTTGTGCTGTGACATGGCAGAACATTGGCTCCAGCCCTGTCCTGTCAAGTCAGGATTCATGGTTGGCGGTAACATCAGTCTGGTGCCTGGCATGAACAGGGGCCTGGGGTCCAAGCCTTGCAATTATAATAAGTGATGTAGCAGCCGTCGACAGGATTTATCACCACATTAGCATTTATTGTTTGTTGAAACACCGACTCCTCTCCTGGCATGATGGGGTTAGTTGCTGGGGGCCTAAGTCTTACATTGTACGGAATTATGGTGTAAGCACTTGGCAAAAGCCAATTTCAATGGAGCATTGCACAAAGAAGCTCCTTTTCTGGAGGTGGCCTGTAGACAGTTCCTCCTGGATATTATTTCTACTCTAATGTTTTCAGTGTACAGATGTTTGTCACTATTCTATGTACTTTTTCTTCCCCCAAATTAAAAGAAAAATAAAAGATAAGTAAAATCTTCAAAATGGGGTTTTAGAAACATTAAACACATAATAATTAATGCTGAGAGACATGGAAGGCAGAAAAAAAAGACCATTTTTTCAAAAAATATTTACTGAGTATGCACTACGGCAGGGTCTATTTTGGGCACTAAGAATGTAACAGTGAACAAATTACAGTAGTGATCTACTATATTTGCCAGAGTGAGAATGGACTAGAAAGAGATGGGTCTGAGAAACAACCTGGCAACAGAGTTGGAGTGTCAGGACTTGAAGGATGGAGAAATACTGGAGAGAATTACAGTACAGGCTAAAAGACGGGCTCTGGCTTACACGATCTTATCGAAGGTGTTTATAACTCTTCAGAGTTTATAATACACTTTCACATACATTAGCTCATTCGACTTTTACAAAAATCTTTAGAAGTGGATGTTAAATATTTCTATTATACATTCAAGGAAACTAAGATTTCTACATATAAGTGATTTTTCTCAAAATTACTTTGACTACATGATCGAGAAATGTCCAGCCTTTGGCTTCCAATTCCCGTCTTTTCACTGTGTCTTTCTTAAAAACTCACCTCCCATCTTTGGTTTCAGCCTCTTACATATGATCATTTTACCCATTTAGTACAAAGATTGTTAATTGTAAAATGAAATACAAAATCCACATAGAAATTCAGACATTTTATTCTCTCTAAATCAAGTACTACAGATTATGAAAAAGCCTAAGAAATCATTAAGATTAAGCACTATTTTACAGATGAGAAAACTCAGGTTTATGCATTAAGCTAAACAGGAGCTGCCAAAATTGTCCCTTTACTGAATCCTTATAAAGCTGTTCATCAAACTTCGGGAAAAGAGTCTTTCATAGGAAAGAGCAGGTTTATACTAGGAAGTAACTTATTATGTAAACTTACCTTGGTTTGTTTTCTTTTTACAATCATATCAGATAACCTTTATATGTGTATCACTAACATAAATTTTAAATGACATTTTAAAGATTACTTTACCTCTTAATTTATATTTTATCACATTGTAATTGTGTGACTTTTTTTTTTCTTTTCAGAGGGATGTAATAGATACTTTGCTTGGACCCAGGTCAAACTAACCAGGATAATTCATCATGACCAATGTCTTTTCTTGTTATTGTTTTTTTTTT